ATACAGTTCTCATCGCCCTCCTGGTTCCGTGGTGGTCCCGGCATATTCAGCAGTACTAATAATCGATCGTCGTGTGACCGGTTTACGATGACCTCGTTCAGCTTCACCGCTGTATGCATTCGCCGTACGTTGGACTGGTCTCTGTTCAGGAGGAGCAGAGGTAAGTTGCAACCAAGGTTACAAAAAAATGACAATGTTTAGTTTCTGACTCACGGTTTGAGGCTCATGAGTTCTCTGAAGGTCTCTGGGGCATTGTTTCGTCTCCTTTTCTCAGCTTCACACTTCTCTTTGGTCCAAGTCATGTGGACCTTCTCAGTTGGACTGTCCACCGACTCTTCCTCCTCATCTGAGTACAGACTTCCCATCCGGACCAAAGAGTGTCTGTCTTTAACCAGCTGGGCCTAAAGAAAACAAGGAAAACAAGGTGGTTTGGTTGACAACTCAGCATGTGGAAAAAACAAAGAGATTACCAAAGGACTGAAAACAAACCTCTCTTTTCCTCTCTGCACCTGACAGCCTCATCTGCCTCAACATCTGGGACCTCTGCTCCATCATTAATGTACGCTCGTAGGTGTAGGCTGAGATGTCACTGTCATGCTGAAATACAGATGGAGAAACAAAAACACAACTTAGTTGGGCTGTCATTTCATTAAAATATTCAAACCTGATTAATTACATTATTCTCCACAGAAACACAGAGTTAATTGCACATGTTCTAAAAGTACCATTAAATGTGTTTGTCAGGTTTTAATACTTTCATTAATATGCAAGTTGGTATTTATTTATTAATACAGAAATAACTGTAAATCTTTTTTTTTTTTGTAAAAAACAAACACTGAAACTAAAGTTGATCGTGGTCCTGAATGTTTTTCCTCAAAATACTGTAGGATTTTTTGGGTGAACGTGTGAAAGTCTCAATGGCAACCCACGCAGGAGTTGCCATTAAGTATGTGGTCTCTCTGGGACTTGAACCCAGGACCTTTTTTGTGTAAGGTAGATCTGTAACCACTGTACTATGGAACCATTTATTATCTATTATTTACTAGAAAATGTATATATTTCATACTTATCAAACTGTGGCTACTGTTTTCACAGTCAGAATAAATGTTAATAACTTTAGCTTTGTCGAAAGCACATTGACACAGCCTGAGAAGCTACATTTGCCATGTGGAGGAAAATTTTCATTAATGTTTCTCACTCTCATCCAGATGTTACTGCTGCTTTACTGTATCAAAAAAAATGGTATCATTAAAAGTAATTTGCAAATTGTTTTCACTGCAACAGCTACAGCAGCCCTCACTTTAGCGTTTAGTGTTTGATCAGACAAACCCTCACCATCTCCACCACCTCCACCTCCGCCTCGATTCTCAGTTGATAGAGGAACATGGCCAAATCCTTCTTCATCTGGATACTGTTGTCATCCATCTGTGCGACTGTGAAGATTCGCATCTTACACTTCCTCCACACCTACAACACAAACAGAACATGTTGGTACTCAAAACACACGTCAAATATTCAGTTAGTGTCAAGGTGACTCCTCACAGTTACAGAACTAAAGATTAAAAGTCACATTGTTAAAAATGTAAAAGTATTTTATAATAGTGCTAGTTACTTTAGTTTTAGTTTGTGATAGTTACTGTAGTTTGAGTAATGGTTCTTTGCTTTTAGTTCCTATTTTAATTTAAACATGTCACTCATCCTGTCAAGTTCACCCCTACCGGGTGGTTCCCACTATTGTCAATAGCACTACAGTATTGTCAAACCCCCTACAGTATGTTAACACACTGCATGTAAAAGCAAACACTTCATTTCTTCATGGATCACTGTTATTCTTATCAACAAATCACAATGGAGCTGATAATAGTCTGCCTTGCTGAGACCCTACCTGCAATAACCTTGCACCACTGAGAGGGCCTGCCCCAGACTTTGAGAACCACTGCCCTATTGCCATTAGCTTCATGCCCTCATGTATTGTGTTATATAAAATGCAGCAGTCCACAAATGGAAAAACATTTTTTTAAAAACTCACTTTATGTTGTTTCAGTAGAAAAGGCAGAAGCATGAGCATCCCTCCATCGTGGACTATCCACCAAACGTCAATGTTGCCTTCTAGGAAGCGTTCATTGTTACTCGGGTAGAAGGACACGTTTTTAGGCACCATCAGGGCCAAGTGTGCAGCTGTGGTACAGCGAACAGTGCCTGAACGGAGATGAATACAGAGTTCAATTTTTATTGTTGTTGTTTTACTATGTGGAGGGAGAGTGAGCATAAACAGAACAAGGCAGAGTGTTGGAATTGATTTTGTGATTGTTGTGATGTTTAATGCCTCAATAACCACATTGACTGCTGCACTCTTTCAGATAGCACAAAAAAGACATGGAAAAAGCCAAAACAGAAGCGTTGTAAGAAAAAGGTACAAAATGTCACTGATGTGAAAAAAAAATGGTGAAGTGACTTTCCAAAATTGACTCATTCATCCAACACTTTGTTGTCACCTGCCAAAATGTCAACCCACTGCATCGCTGATTTGATTTAAAAATGAATGCTCTGGTGTGCCCCCTCCCACCCCCTGCCTTTCATTCAGTCTGGACGTCAAACTCCTGTTAGCATACAGGATGTGCCCTTCATTTTTATAACCATGTTCAGGGCTTTGTAATTCACTGTTTTTACTCTCCCACTGTATAAGACTCGTGTCACGGACATGTTGGAAAAAATGCTGTTTATTCTCAACATCAAATCACCAGAGAAAAAAAGGACATCATCATATGATCTGTGGGACTTACTGATGAAAGTCCTCCAGGCACGGGGGTCCTCACTCTGCCTCCATCCATACGGCCAGCCCATCATCACAGTATTGTGCTTCATGCCTCCAAGACCACAGGACTGGATCAGATGGACGATGCCCTCACGCACTTTATTCGCCACAACGACCTGGCAGAAACCTTTGACCCGTTCAAAGTCCATCATATTCTTGATAGCCTATCAGAAAATATTGGTTAGGTGAAGTCTTTGAATTGAAAACATTTAGTTAAAAATAAATCCATTATCCAGTTTGTACATCCAAAAGAAAAAAAGAGCAAACATTTTTG